TCCCAGTACCCACATGGCAGATAACAACTGTCCATAGCTCCAGTTACAGGAGATCTGATGCCCTCTTCTGGCCTCCACAGGCACTGCATGCATGTGGTGCATTTATATCCATGTAGGCAAAACATTCACATAAAAAAAAATAATGCGAAATTTGAAATAACAGTAATTGTTTAAATTCTATCATATTTAATACAATATTATATAGCCATTGAAATATTAGAATAATAACTTGGGAATGTGCTTGTAACATGTTGTCAAGTCTAAATTATAGCTTGCTAGTTTATGTATAATATCCTTTGTCAACAAATGACTCTTTGTTAACATGTTTTCTATAATAAACCTGTATTTCTTTTTCTAGTATCAAATTATTTTTTCTATAAAGGCCTCCAAATTACATTATTTTCTTTTGTTCCAAATTTATTCTCTAAATAAACTCTTATTTACCGTTTCCCTAGATATTTCCATAACAGAAAAGGGGTAGCCGGCACTGGAGAAGTGAACATTCTGCAAATTGCACAGTGCTACCTGTACTGCAGATTTGTGGTAACACATAAAACCTAAGAAGAAATTTTAAGAAAATTTAAAATCCATTTAAATGATGAAAACAAAGTGGTTGAAAGGTAAGAAAAGAATGCTATGAAAAAGGTATGGAAATCAGGAATCTATAAGAAGTAGATTCCCAGGAATGGTGATGCATGTCTTTAAATTAAAAAAAAAAATTATTTTATGTGTATGAGCATTTTGCCTGCATGTATATAAGTATATCACATGTGTGCAATGCCCACAGAGGCCAGAAGAGGGAGTCAGATCCTTTGGAACTGGAGTTATAGATGGCTGTGAGCTGCCATGTGGATGCTGGAAACCAAACTATGGTCCTCTGCAAGAGCAGCCCGTCTTCTTAACCCCTGACCCATTGCTCCAGCCCCCGGTATACACCTTTAATCCTACCACTTGGGAGGCAGATCTCTGTGACTTTGAGGCCAGCCATGACTACATAGTGCATTGTAGACCAGCCACGACTACACAGTCAGACAGTTTCCAAAAATAAAAGGGGGTGGAGGGTCAAAGTTGTAAGCCCTTTTGTAAAAATGTGAGTCTCCATAGGCTGGAGAGATGGCTCAGCATTTAAGAGCACTGGCTCCTCTTGCAGAAGACCTGGATTCGATCCCTAGCACCCACATGGCAGCTAACAACTGTCCATAACTCTAGATCCAGGGGATCTGACACCCTTGTCTGACCTCCATGGGCATTGCGTGACATGGGAGCATTTACACATGTGCAGGCAATACACTCATACACATGAAATAAAAATAATAAATTAAAAAAAAACTGTGAGTCCCATGGTGTGAGGGATGTAGCTCAGTGGTAAAGCTTGCCTAAGCATACATGAGGCCTTGGGGCAGGTCTCCAGCTCTCTCCCCTGAAGAAAGATAAACTATAAAAGCAGTAAGGTGACTGTTACTACATATTTTAGTTAAAATGCTTTTTTTCTTTTTTCTTTTGATATGGAGTCTAAGGTGGCTCAGACTGGCCTGGAACTCCTGATTCTCCTGCCTCCACTTCCCAAGTGCTGAGATTTCAGGTGTGTGCCACCACAAGCAAACTGCTAAATGCTTCCTAAAAATACAGATAAGTTTAAAGAAGAATTCTTGCCAAATACTAATATTCTGGATGGCTCTGTGGATAGAGTGTTTGCTGTGCAAGCATAAGGACCTGAGTTCAGACAGTAGTACCCATGTAAAAAGTTGGATGTGGCTCTGCATAGCTGTAACCCCAGCACTGTGGGTGATTCAGACAGCAGGACTGTCCAGGTTTGCTGGAGGCCAGGCTAATTCCACATTGAGTAAGACACTCTTGTCTCAAGGGAATAATGTGGAGAGCCATAGAACAGGACATCCAGTTTTCTCCTCTGATCTTTGAATATGCATGTACATCCTGCCCATGTGCATGCAATACAACACATACACTACACACATACCACACATACACGCGCACATGCACACACACACACACACACACACACACACACACACACACAAAATCACTTCTCAGCCTTTGGCTAAGATCAACTGTAAAAAATAAGATAATACAGCCAAGTGCGGTTGTGCATGCCTTTGATCCTAGCACTTGAAGAGGCAGGTGGAGCTCTGTGAATTCGAGGCCAGCCTGGTCTACATAGTGAGCTCCAGGTCAGCTGGGGATACAAGGAGACAATCTCAAAAGATTTAAAAAAATGTAACACATAGATGATGACAAACATGAAATGCTGGTATACATTTATTCTTTTATTGCTAAACATCAAATTTCAACAATTATGATAACATCAAGTTATAGCTTAAGAACGAATTACAACACAGTGAAAAGATTTATAGAAAAAAATACCTATGTGCCACTGGTATGTGGACATTTAATAAATACCAAGGATAAAATGATGACAGAGAGCCACATCACTATGAAGCCTATGTTTACAATTTTCTGTTCAACCTAGAAGAGCGATTATCAAAAGGTCAACTTTAACTGTATATCTCTTCAGGCTGAGATGCTGAAAATAACATAAGACATTCTTTACAGATTATAGGTGATTTTTAAAAAGAAAAACCTCAAAAATGTAAACAATGCAGAAGAACACTGAGAAGAAAGTTTTACTGTTGAACAAAGTGACAACACAGAAAGATACTTCTTCAAATCCTTAACAGAACTCTTTTTCTAATCGCTCTACAGAAACCAAAGGGAATTCTTTCCATAAAGATGACAATATACCAGGGACATAAAGACCTTCCAAGTTCTTTTTTATTGTTAACATATATTTACAGTAAATATTCAACAATCCTTTTTACAGCCTACTTAAATAGAAACATGCTTTTCTAACTCATAAATAACACGAATCACCATCCATTCAAGCACATTAAGGACTTCTGATGTCTCATGCACTGTGCAGGAAGGCAAAGCTGCGCATGCCATGGTCCTTGCTATAGAAGAGCCCATAATCAAGCTGAAGACACAACATACAATGTTTCCTTTCTTAAGTCATGGGGCATGTCTACACAAACGGTAGTCATCTGCTGGACTTCCTAGCAGAGAAGTTCCCAAACCCTGACTCTACTGATTAGCAGGCAGAGGTGTTTAACAGCTCACGTGAAATGAGGTTTTATTTTGTTGGTGCTTTAACTCAGAAAAAGAAGTTCATGGGTAGAATTTCCTCTTATTAAAAATACTTTTCTTGGGCTATGGGTTGTAGTTCAGTGGTAGAGTGCTTGCTAGCATGTGTGAGGTCCTGTGTTCTAGAACCACCACACCAAAATTTTTTTCTTTCAGTTTTGAAGATGACTTGCACACATACATTTTTGTTAGTAAACTGTTTAATGTATGCAACAGAATGAATTATGTGAGTATTCCACAGCATTTTCTAACCTCTACCTTAATAGGTCTGTGCATTATTACTATGCAAATAAACTTTGGTCTTGAATGACCTTAGAAAAGAACTAATGCCATATTTTCTAGGATAAACCAGTAATTTGTATGACTTTAGTATTGGTATTAACTGATGATGCAAGTCCTTAATAAAATGCTAAAATGATATTCAGTATATGAATCCTATTTAAGAAGGTAGGCAAATTTTGTAATAAAATCTAAAAAATTTCTAAAAGTTGATCTAAAAGATTTAGGTGCTTAAGAGAACTAATGTTCTGAAAAAGGTAACCTCATGAGGTATGTCACTTAAGAAAGGGGACAGATATCTGGCTTCTGTTACCTCTGAGTATATGTGTGTCTTCATTAAATGTGTTTTTTGAATGGGAGAAAGAACATGTGCATATATTCCTAAAAGAAACAGCATCACACTGGCCTACTGACACTCCAAATTTCCCAGGGCTGCATCGCTACCACAGATCAGATGTGGCTTTTTAGGGCTCCAGAGTCTTCTCAGGCTCTGGCAAATCTATGTTTTAGTCTCTTGTGTGCAGTCGTTCTCACTAAACTAGCAAGTCTTTTGCAGACTCACAGAGGTAGCTTAGGGGGAGATGGAAAGCAAGAATTAGGTGTTAGTCCCCCAAGAGAGAACGTACAAGGTGCTGGTGAGGACAGAGTATGGCTCAGGGTTGAAAGTTGTTGCAGCACAAAGGAATACATCTACCCTGGGAGAGCTCCAAGCTTCAAAGCTCTACAAAGTGCTAACTAGATCGGGTGAAGAGCCTGGGTTCTGTCTTGTGCTCTATTACAGGACCCAGCTTAGTTCTGAGGTTCACTTCTAACTGCCTAAGCTCCCAAGTGTCTCTGTGTGAGACACTTTGTGCAGCACACTCTGTTTAGAAAGGCTAGTGTGTTGTGAGTGTGTGGAGACACACTATCAAAAAGGCAACACTTGTGGGGCAAAACTGTCTCCTAACATCACAGGCCTTATTTGCTTCCAACTTTGTCCATTTACTTGCTATCAATTGACAGATTTTTCCCTTTCATGTCAGCACATATGTTCATAAAGTTGTATTACTCTAACTGTAATTAGATCTCAGTTTTTAGAATACAAAATAATACACCATTAAACTTTAAAATACTTTTTTTTGGTCTTTTTGGAGACAGGGTCTCCCTGTAGCCCCAGCTGGCCTGGAACTATGCAGACCAGGCTAGCCTTGAACTCACAGAGATCTACCTGCCTCTGCCTCCCGAGTGCTGGGCCTAAGGGCCTGTGCTACCATGCCTGGCTAAAATACTTTTCAAACAAGACTAAGATAGGAGATATAAATCAAGAACATATTCAAACTTACATTTGACCAAAGTCTAGTCTCCCTCAAATATTTAATGATGTGTGTGTATGTGTGTGTGTGGTTTGCTTGAGACAGGGTCTTGCTACATAGCCAAGGCTGGCCTGGAACTTAATATGTAGCCTAGGATGGTCTTGAACTCATGATCCTTTTGCCTATCTTTCCTGAATGATGGGATTATAGGCAAATGCAGGGTTTACAAGTGTACACCACCACATCAGCTTAATGGCACTTTTTTTTTAGTAAATGTTACCTGGGGCTCGGGTATAGGTCAGTGGTACAGGGCTTGCTTAGCATACATAGCATAAGTGAGGCCCTGGTTTCAAACCTCAGTACTACACACACACACACACGCACACACTCACGCACACACACATTCATGTACACACACGCACACACACATACACATGCACACACACACATACACACCCACAAAAGGTTTTCCCATCCAATTCTGCTTTCCGTTATACTATTTCAAAATGCTATGGGCACACAAAATGGTATTACATTGAATGAATGAATGAATTTTCACTTGTTTACAAATTGTTTCACACACACTAGAAGTTTGCACATTCAGTCTTGAAAACCAGAATGTAATAAGGAGTTATGCCTTTCATTTCTTCCACTCATTCTCTACCAGAGTTTAGATTCTCTGGATATAGGAGGAATTCAAAGATGCTTGTCAAGATGTTCTAAGAAAACAACTTTACATTTCACACCAAGTGAAAATCTCAATGGCAATAGATATTACCACTTAGCTGTAACTCAGAGATTCTACTGGCTGAAAATAAATATTACCGTGCTGTAACCATCCAGAGTCCCAGTGTCACATTGGCAGCCAAAAGTACACTGCCACCAAGCAAGATGAAAAATCCTATCAGATCTTTGACATCGTTGTCCCCAATCACTGAGGTAAGGGTAGCATCCAGAAAAGAGTTTAAAATCCACTGACCATCCAAAGCAAAGCAGGGTACTGCATTAACAATAGCTAGAGCTCCGGAAAGGGAAATCAGGTACCTGGGGTTAAAATCAGTTAAGGAACTAGCTGTTTAGTCCAAGTGGAAACCAGCTTTTGGGAAGTCAGATACTGTACTGGGTCTGAAATTTCAGATTACATTAAGACTACTTTAAGCCTCTAACATTCTTATATGTCTGTTGTTTAGAACGAGTTTATATTATTTTGAAGTTCAAAAACTTTGAATATAAAAATAAATTACTTATAGACAGACTTAACAAACTTACAATGAATTCCTAGGAAGACTAAGTTTTTATAACCTTTAATAATACAACAAAGGAAAAGGAATGCAGAAGGAATAATAGAGGAAGAAAAATTGGCAGTAAACTCTGGGACTTGTGCATACCAGGCAATGCTCTTCCACTGAACTATATCTCCAGCGCCCCCAATTACTTAAGAATAATCTTGAGACTGGGTCTTGTTGCTCAGGTTGGTGATTCTCCTGTCTTGGCCTCCTAAGTATTAAGTATGCATCACAACACCAGTTTCCAAATTATTTTAGAAAAAAAGATTTATTATTTATGTCTATGTTTGTGTCAGTATGTGCTTGTGGATGAAGTTGCCTGGAGACTAGAAAGGAGCACTGGATTGCTTGGAGTTGGGGTTACAGGCAGTTGTGAGCTATCTGACATGGGTGCTGAGATCAGAACTCTGAAAGAGCAATGCATCTTTAATCACTGAGCCATCTCTCTAGCCCCTCAAATTACTTTTTGATCCTTCCCATATCTTCTATCAGGAAATAAAGATTTTGACCCTTGAACTCTGCTTTATTATGCTATAATCTGTAAAGTTATTAAAAAGGCTTTCTGTTGCTGAGTGTGGTGGTATACACCTTTTTTATTTATTTATTATTTTTATGTGTATGAGTGTATCGCCTACATGCATGTGAGTGCACCTGTGTCGTGCAGTGCTGAGGAGGTTGGAAGAGGGCTTCGGATTCCCCTGGAACTGGAGTTAAGGAGAGTTGGAAGCTGCCAGGTGGGTGCTGGGAATCAAACCTGGGTCCTCTGCAAGAACAGTCAGTGCTCTTAACTGCTGAGCCATCTCTCCAGACCCTCAAATTACTTTTTGATCCTTCCCATATCTTCTATCAGGAAATAAAGATTTTGACCTTTGAACTCTGCTTTATTATGCTATAACCTATAAAGTTATTAAAAAGGCTTTCTGTTGCTGGGTGTGGTGGCATACACCTTTAATCCCAGTACTTGGGAAACAGGGGCAGCCTTGTCTACATAGTAAATTCCAGGCCAGCTGGGGCTACAAGGAGACCTTGTCTAAAAAAGAAGAATTCTTTCTGTGATAAAGTCACAGAAACTCCAAGGCATAATCTTGATTATGCATATGTTTAATATCTGATCACTTTATTTTTTGGTATTTTTGAGACAGGGTCTCCCTGTAGCCCCAACTGGCTTGGAACTTGCTATGTAGACCAGGCTGGCCTTGAATTCACAGAGATCCGCCTGCCTCTGCCTCTAGAGTGCTAGGACTAAAGGTGTGCACTACCATGCCCAGCAATAACTGATCATTTTGTCTTCATTTTATTTTGTTGTTTAAAGGAAAGAAATTAAGATGTAAAAGTGACAAAATAAAGAACTCTCCTAATTCAATACTACATAATAAATTAAAAATTGATCTTCTATATTCAGGCATAATGGTAAAGACCACAGAAGAGAGGCTGGAGACAGTTCAGCAGTTAAGAGCACTGGCTGCTCTTGTAGAGGACCAGGATTTGGTTCCCACCATCTACATCCACATGGTAGTTTAACAACAGTCTGTAACTCCAGTTCCAGGGGATCTGATGCTTTCTTCTGGCCTCCATGGGCACTGCCATGTATATGGTGGACTTATATACACGCAGACAAAACACATACACATAAAGACCACAGGAGACTTTTATTCTCTGAATCGCTATTTTAGTAATAGAAAGTGAATTGCCCTTCCTTAGATATTCTACCTTCAGAGCAGTAGGATGGAATTACATAGACTGGTTATGTATGCTAGAGTTAGCTTCCACTTGGCCAGAGCAAATAAGCTCAAGTGGGACAAAATTCAACTCCTTAATGATAATGGAAACCATCATTCTTTATAAACTTCTTGTAAACTCAACTTTCAATTTGAATCACATGTTCTCCTTTCTCCATTCCAGGCTGAGCTTTCTCTACCAACTTTTCCCCTCATATGTAAAACCTGATCTCTTTCAACTTTAAAGTTTCTCTCTTTTTCAGCTGTTAGCAACTAAATGATAAGGCCTATATTTGTAATGCTCTATTCAAGATGAATTGCAAGTAACCCATGAAGTTGCATGCAACACACTTTTTTTTTTGGTCTTTTGAGACAGGGTCTCCCTATGGCCCCAGCTGTCCTGGAACTCACTATGTACACCAGGCTGGCCTTGAACTTACAGAAATCTGCCTGCCTCTGCCTCCCAAGTGCTGGGATTAAAGACGTGTGCCACCACGCCTGGCACACACTTTTAAAACATTTTTCCAGGCTGGAGAGATAGCTCAGGGGTTATGAGCACTGACTGCTCTTGCAGAGGACCTGTGTTCTATTCCCAGCACCCACATGGCAGCTAACAACCGTCCATAACTCCAGTTCCAGGGGAATCTGATGCCTTCTGACCGCCAAGGGCATTGCACAACACGGGTGCACTTACACACATGCAGGCAATACACTCATACACATAAAAATAAAAATAATAAATATTTAAAAAGAAGCCAATAAATAAAAAACAGTTTTCCAACCAGAAAGGATACTTGACAAATGTTTCCACAATCACTGGCAGATCTATGCTTAGAAACTTGAAACGTGGGATAAAACTTGTGATGCTCACTAAGAAAGAAAAACAAGGAATAATTAATACTGTCCTTATTAGATAAGCAGCAGCATTATAAATTTTACCATATGGTCAAATATTACCCTAATTTAGTTTTTTTTTTTTCTTTGTGAGAGGGTTTCGCTATTTTGCCCTGGCAAGCTTGGTACTTGCTATGTAGACCAGGCTGACCTCAAACCCACAGAGATCCACCTGTCTCTGCCTCCCAAGTGCTGGTATTAAAGGGATGTGCCACCATGCCCAGCTTGTACTAGTTTAATGGTTGAGAAAGTCTTTCCTACACACATGTAGGCAGACTATATACCTCACATATAAAAGCAATTAGTTATTCTAGAACATCTAATAAAAATAGTGGAATGAAAAAAATATTCAAGTTCCAATGTGTGCTTATGTTTTGAGGCTAGAGTTAAGATGAAGCAGACTATATACCAATTATGACTACCAAATACAGAGTGAAATATACTTAAAATATATACTAAGATTTATATCAAAAGCATTCCACCTTTTCAAAGAAGTATAATCTAAACATCACATTTACTACAACTATTATGCTATTTAATGATTCTTTATTGCTAAAGAAAATAATTAAGGAGACCCTGTCTCAAAAAGACCAAAATAATAATAATAATAATAGATAGGGGGTCTTTTTTTTGGTCTCTTTGAGATAGGGTCTCCCTGTAGCCATACCTGGCCAGGAACTTACTATATAGACCAGGCTGGCCTTGAACTCAAGAAATCCACCTGCCTCTACCTCCTAAGTGCTGGGACTAAAGCTAAAGGCGTGTGCTATCATGCCCGGCTCTTTTTTAGAGACAGGGTCTCCCTGTAGCCTCAGCTATCCTGGAACTCACTATGTTAGACCAGGCTGGAGTTAGGCTGGCCTCAAACTCACAAAGATCCGCCTACCTCAGCCTCCCAAAGATAAGGGGCTCTTTAAAGTCCCTTGTACTCTGTGGATTTCATAATTGTGTTTTGATCCAAAGCACTTAAAAATATATCCAGTAATTAGATAAAACCAATAGTCCCCATTTCTGAATTATCCCAACTAGGGCCAAGTCTTCATTTATTGATAGCATATTCAATAGCTGAAGTCTAGAGTCACTTAATGTCAAACCAGTAAATAAGAAAAACGACTCAGGGTGTCTTACTATATAATCACAAAGCACTGACTTTTTTTGGGGGGGGGGCTTTTTGAGACAGGGTCTCCCTGTGGCCCCAGCTGTCCTGGAACTCACTATGTAGACCAGGCTGGCCTTGAACTCACAGAGATCCACCTGCCTCTGACTCCCAAGTGCTTGGATTAAAGGTGACAAAGCACTGATTTAAAGAGAAACATAAAACACAAATATCCATCAACTGATGAATGAATAAAGAAAATATGGTCAGCCGTGGATAAAACTTGAAAACATTATGCTACATGAAATAAGCCACTTGCAGGGGCTGGATAGGTGGCTCAGAGGTTAACAGCATGTGTATTCCTCTTGTAAAGGGTTCAGGTTCAGCTCCCTGCACCCATGCTGGGTGCCTTACAACTCCCTATAACTCCAGTTCTAGAGGAATCTAAGTTCCCTGGGCCTTGGGAGGCACCTGCATTCACATGCACATACTCACATACATACACATAATAAAGAAATTCTAAAAAATAAGTCAGTTGTAAAATATTCCACATGCATTCACATGCACATACTCACATACATATACATAATAAAAAAGTAAATAAATTCTAAAAAATAAGTCAGTTGTAAAATATTCCACTTGTATGAAACTTCTACTAGGTGTGGTGGCACATGCCTTTAGTTCCAGCAGAGGCAGATGGATTTCTTTGAGTTCAGTTGTGGCTCAGGTGGGAGACTGCTTGCTTAGCATGCATAAAGCCATGGGTTTAATTCCCAGGGCCATATAAAACAGGACATCGTGGCAGGGGGAGGCAGGAAGATCAGGAGTTCAAGGTCATCCTCAGCTACATGGCTGAGTTTGAGGTTAGCCTTGGTAACATGAGATCCTGTCTCAAAAAAAATTTTCATGTGCTATGCATAAAGTACAATCACATTTTAATGTATCCTCGTGTTCACAAGGGTACAGCAACTCTTGCCACTGTTTTGGAGGGGTTGGATAGATTTTATAAGCTCTTGGGAAACATCTGAAAGATTATCAATTTGACTTGGAAAAAAATAATGGGGAAGAAAAAAACTCTATCATTTTCCATAGGCTGGTTATTTTCTTTCTACCTTAATTCTATTTAATGCTTAAGAACACATTAATAAGATTTTGATAAGTGATCAAATTTATGATAAATTAAGTTAATGCAAGGATTTGTACTGAGTTCTTAAAACTGAGAATATATATGATCTTAATGATTTTTCTAGGCGTCTTCCCAATAATACTCACCTGTGTAGTGAAGATGCAGTGGATGTCCTACATATAGCATATCGACTTGAGGGGGATGTTTCACTTTTATTAAGCGAGTGTGAGTTTCCAAAGATGGTATTATACAGAAACTTGAACTTGAGCTTGTTTTACAATCTTTATTAGTTCTACAAACTTGAGTAGCTTCAATTGCTTTCCGGGCAGGTAGACATGTATGCTAAAAATATTAGTCAATATTAAAAATTATTTATTAACAGGAAAAATCCAATTCAATTCCTTCATATTTTTCACATCACCTAGCATATTAGAAATGAAGTCCATATAAATGAATAAAGTTCATATAGTTATGTGTAACTACTGTTAATTAAATTCAAAGATCCCATTTTGGCTATGTAAGATATCATACCATTATAAATTTTTAGACTCTCAGATAAAAGTGTGACATCTGAAATGTACTAGTTTTAATAAAATGACACAAAGTAAATAGAACAAAAGAGAGATTTCACAAGTTGCATTTTAGATTTATATGTTTATTTTGTAATAATTATATCAGATAAGAAAGACTTCCCTGGGGACAACTTACCAAACGCTTATTAAAATTATTTCTGTAGGAGAAGCACACATCTGTGAGGCTGTGATTGTTACAGCATTCAGTAGAGCCATCTAGTCGTTTGTATGCTAAAAAGAAACAGCGCTTATTTGAATTAGTTGCAAAGAAGTGTATTTGTAGTAAAAAAATCTGCTTTTTTTTTTTTTTTTGGTTTTTTTGAAAAAGGGTCTCCCTTTACCCCCAGCTGGCCTGAACCCACAGTTTGGCCTCTGCCAAACTTTTTAAA